GTCTGCACATTAGTAAAGTCAAGGACAACTTACGTCAGGCCTCCACGAGTCAGGGAATCAAGAGCCAGACAAGGGAGATAACTGACATCGTGTCTGCACATTAGTAAAGTCAAGGACAACTTACGTCAGGCCTCCACGAGTCAGGGAATCAAGAGCCAGACCAGGGAGATAACTGACATCGTGTCTCCACATTAGTAAAGTCAAGGACAACTTACGTCAGGCAAGGGAGATAACTGAAATCGTGTCTCCACATTACTAAAGTCAAGGCGCATCGGGCACATAGGGCTAGATCCGTATTTTATAGATCTAATGTCGGGACACTCGATGGGGGATACGGCAACATGACACCGACCGCCTTTACTTCCTATGACTTCATCAGGTCCCCATTTAAGACTTGGTCCACCTGAGAGTCAAGCATACGTTTGAAACAATCCGTTTAGGGCTAACAGTCCTAGAAAAAGACGAGACTGTTGTGTCTGCGCACCATCAGGCCTTTGCACAACGTCGCTCACATCCCGGCAGGCCAGTAAGTCGGTCGGTCCCCTGGCAACTTTTCCGCCTCACAAACTCTCATCCCCAGCGTGCCGGTAAGATCCTCTGTCGACCGTCGTGCTGCCTTTTCTCCATGTAGCATGCTCTCTATCTGTCCTCTCTCACAAGCCCTCACAAGCATGTCGTAAAAGGCGACTAATTAGGCGCATTTCCTTCGAAGTCAGAGTGCATGTACCTGAGAGGCGAGGAACTAACAGTCTGCATATAAATCAGACATGTCTATAAAGCAGAAGTGCATGCACCACTCAACACTAAGTATTGCACCTCTGCATGCGGGAAGTTGCACGGGCAGCTGTATACATCGTGACTAGACTGGCAGATAATGATCACTCCCTGGCGTTAAAACAATTACATGTGCCGGGAGCGAGGCCTTGTGAAGCATGACAAGGCCGTCTTTGAGATCAAGATAGCAGCTATTGTAATCAACTTCCCATGCCAACAATCATTAGAGGTAACTCCAAGTATTGCTGCATTAGAGCACTGAGATGTTTGACTATTTCCCCCGTGTAGTGTCATCGACTGTGTCTTTTCCGGATAGTCCACCCTGGTAGCCAGGGACGTCGAGATCTCTTGCTCTTTCAAACTGTTCAGTTTTAAATGCAACTATTCAACAACTGCTGAGGCACTGTTAATGTTAGCAACACATATGAATTCCTTCTAGTTCTTCGCACTTATCCCATTAGGGTAAGGCGCCCAATCTCCACTCAGGGATCAAGGCGTGTGTCACATCCAGTGCTATATTCAGTATGTCAAATTTAACGCGAGAGCCGCGTTAGCGCAGTTGATAAGAAGCTCACTTTCAAATCCAGCTGCTACTCGCTGCAGCCCACGGTCGGTGTTCGAAACCGGGCGGCTCCCGGGTTTCACCCAGCCTCTAGGAAATGGGTACCAGAGTTAACACTCTGGGGTAAATTGAGGAACGTCGCCGTAGCTACAGAGTTACGTGCGAACGGCGACACAGGTGGACAGTTTCTTATCAGCTGCCCGTACTGGGGGCAGAGCACTTATGGATTATAACCGTGTGCAATGACGCTGTATCACATCCCCCGACTTTACCTTTACCTTTTTTTTGTCAAATTTATATTTCGTAAAAATTTTTTTCTCTGGCTAAAACAGAGGTTCTCAACCGTCCTAATGCGGGGACTCTTTAAAACAGATCCTCATGTTGTGGCGACCCCCCAATCATACAATTATGTTCCTTGCTACTTCACAACTTTAGTGAACATGTGTATTCCGATGGTCGTTTGACCTGCCAAAAGGTCGCGGCACCACAAGTTGAGAACAGCTGGGTTAGAAGAACAAACACCGCATAGCAAAGACACGCCGCCATCAACACAAATTAAACTTTGTTCCCCTCTAAAAGAGCGGTTGACTCGCTGTGTTGTGGTTTACAGCGAGGCTGCGATATCTGCGCCTTTCAGCTCAACACGCTGGATTTCCGCAAACTTCTAATTACTCGTCATTTACCACATGCTTACTGGGGCTGGGGCATTGGGCCTATTTTAAACCCTTCCCCCACACCCGAAAAATTAACCGATGGTCAACATAAATAAAACTATCATCAGACATTTTACACAAGATCAACAGAAACTAGGACCAGTAACACGCTTCACTGGCCATGGGATCAGGGAAGACAGCTTCAAATGAGAACTAACAATTAAAACAGATAACATGGAAATGTAGAACTCTATATGTGATCACAGAGAGTATATTTTCACATGAAGCAAACAGACAGCACACACACCCTCTCCCTTTCCAATGTTTATGTTGATACACACGCATTAAAAAAAAAAACATATTTGTCTGGTTGAATAAAGTGGTACAAGCAAAACTATGGTACCACAAACAGGCACATGCAAACTAGAATTTAAAATAAACAAACGAACGTGTACATGTATCGCTCATGATACCAAGCTTACTTTTTTAACAGGTTACAACAAGCAAATAGAACAAATACAATGTGTACACCTAGATTCACACACACTCAGCAAATAGAACAAATACAATGTGTACACCTAGATTCACACACACTCAGCAAATACAACACAGATCGTGGGTAATTAGGTTCAGGAACAATCAGTAAATACAACAAAGATAATGTGTACCTAGGTTCACAAACAATCAGTAAATACAACAAAGATAATGTGTACCTAGGTTCACAAACAATCAGCACATACAACAAAAACTATGTACCCAGGTTCACAAACAATCATTATGTAGCCAGTATTCAATCAATCACGTAGCCACACACTCAAACAGATACAAATGTAAAACCAGAAAGTTTTCTTTTTTTGCCTTAATCAACAAAATAGTGCTCTGTACATTTCCACAAGCGCTTTGTCCCCATCTTCAGCAGCCAGCAAAGTTCCAATTCTGTGGGAGCTGCAGTTTGATTATATTTCCATCTTACCTTTCCTCTAAGTGTAGACTGTACCATTCTCTCCAGACTATAGCCATCTATTTGAGCCTCCTCATTGTTCAATTTCTCTCTAACGGCTTTGATCACATCTTACTTGTCATGCACTGTACCATTCTCTCCAGACTATAGCCATCTATTTGAGCCTCCTCATTGTTCAATTTCTCTCTAACGGCTTTGATCACATCTTACTGGCCATACATCAGTTCACCACCTAGTGATGCAGAACCAGCCAATCTGTCTGACTGTTCATTTTCCAACACTCCTGCATAACCAGGAAAACATTTCAAATGCACCAACTACCTGGGACCTCTGAAGCGATGCTTACCACTCTGCACAGAGCATGCCTGTCACTACCTTGTTCTGAAGCTAGAGGAAAGCTACTGTGACTACCTCCACCTCCATTCTCAAACTAAATGCTGTAGCATCGTACTTTCAAACACTGTTGCACCCAGTGCTGTACATCTGCTTTTGCAATGAACCCCAGCAGACTTCATCTGCCTTTTAGCACATTGCTATCTGTATAAATAGTCACATTAACTGACCATGAATTACCATGAATTACCATGAATCAATTACTGAATTTCTGATTTTGCACACAAGCCTGCATTTTTGCTCTGACTACGCACTACTCTCTTAATTGTTCCCCACACATCCCTAATTGTGTTTTTTGCTTGCTCCAACCAAGACGTCCCTCTAATCAACTCTCTAATCAACTTGTGACCTGTAGCCAGGGTTTCATGAAGAAGGTCTTTCAAGCCATGGCTACCTTGAGGTATGACCTAGCTTGTTGCTCTTTGAGACTATCTGCAGTAGTGGGCAGTGCAAGGATGTATCCATCTGGTACTTGAAAGACAGGCTCCTATCGAAGCTGATACCAAAGCACCTCAGTGTGACCTCTCTTTTGATGTCTGTTGTTTACTATAAGGCTTGGGATGTCAGCTCTAACAATTCTATTGTCCAGAGAGCACCAACAAATTGCCGCCTTTTCTGGATAGAAAACAGCATTAACCTCAGTACACCAGCCAGTCACCTTGTCCACTGCTGCCTGTAGCTCTGGAGCTGTCCGTAGCTCTGGAGCTGTCTGTAGCTCTGGAGCTGTCTGCAGGTCTAGAGCTGTCTGTGGCTCTGGAGCTGTCTGTGGCTCTGGAGCTGTCTGTGGCTTTGGAGCTGTCTATAGCTCTGGAGCTGTCTGTGGCTCTGGAGCTGTCTGTGGCTCTGGAGCTGTCTGTAGCTCTGGAGCTGTCTGTGGCTTTGGAGCTGTCAGTGGCTCTGAAGCTGTCTGTGGCTCTGGAGCTGTCTGTGGCTCTGGAGCTGTCTGCAGGTCTAGAGCTGTCTGTGGCTCTGGAGCTGTTTGTGGCTCTGGAGCTGTCTGCAGGTCTAGAGCTGTCTGTAGCTCTGGGGCTGTCTGCAGGTCTGGAGCTGTCTGTAGCTCTGGAGCTGTCTGCAGGTCTGGAGCTGTCTGCAGGTCTAGAGCTGTCTGCAGCTCTGGAGCTGTCTGTAGCTCTGGAGCTGTCTGTGGCTCTGGAGCTGTCTGTGGCCTACGTCTACCCTACCTATACGCAAAAAGATCATCTAAAAATTTCAATATCCTCCCGACACCACATGCTTCAAGTTCTGCAAACTTGCTCATACAAAATACTGAGGAGCACTGGTGAAACTGCAGCTCCCTGCACCTCTCTTTTCACTGCCACTCTCTTCAGAACCTGCGTATTTAACGCTTACATTTCCAATACGACCTATTCTTCTGTACATCCACGTCTCCAGAGACTCAATTCCTTTTCTGGTTCGTTGCCCATTGTCCAGCTTCCTTCACCATACAGTAAGTTTGTGTATGCACAGCATTTCCAAATTCTAATTTTTAATGTGCTGTTTACCTATCTCAATGTCAATACAGATGCCACCTGACAGATCAAGAACAAGATTAAACAATCAAACGAGAATGAAAACAGATAAGTGTATAAAAAGAAACTGAAATAAATAAATGTGTAAGGTGCAACAAAAACAACCACAGATGCACGAGTAAACTCACCGGTGTGAATCCGCACATGCTGCTGCAGATGAGACAACTGTTTGAAAGCCCTGTCACAAAATGAACAGATGTGCTTGCGAATGCCAGTGTGAACCAGGCTGTGCTGTGCTAGCTGTTGCTTACTGCGAAACAACTTGAGGCACGTCAGGCAAGGATGGGTCCTGTCCAACTCTCTTCCCTGATGGTGTCCCGGAGACTGGCTCATGGAGTTCTCGTCCATCAGTCCGGACAGTGATTGAGCTGTCCTCTCAGACAGCATATGTATGCCCTGGCTGTGGTGTCTGCCAACAAAGTCTGCAAAAGATTCATCTCCTCTGTGGCTCAAGTTGGACGCTGCACTGCTAGTGCGGACTGATCCAAGGTTCTCCAGCCCCAAAAGGGCATTAGGAGGCAGCGGACCAGGCATGATGCCGCCATCAGGCGAAGACTTGTTTAAATTTGAGGCTACCGATGCTATAGTTTCTTCTATAAGAGATCCAGATTGATCATCAACAACTCGGTCACCTGATATAGATGAAGTTGAATAGATAGCACGAGAATGTTGAAGCGCTTCACTGTGACTGTTAGCTTCTGACAGCAATGTAGATCCTGGCCGTGACTGCAGTGGGCCATTATTATTATCCTGTCTGAATATTGAGAGACTACTTCTTCCATTATGGTTGTTGTTGCCATTTGTGTCTCTTACGACGTGGTGTTGACTGTGGTGCTCCACCAGGCCCTGGTGACTATGTGCTGGGTGCTCTGAGAGGCTTGCTCTCATGGACATGTGAGAAGACAATGTTTGTGCTCCATGCTGTTGCTGATCGACTATATTATGCTGGACCCCACCTAAAGAGGGGGGCCGACCCCGACGTGGTACAGACGATCCCGAATCCAAGAAATTCTGGGGGGTCTGTTCAGAAGTGTAATTCAGGGTTTGATTGTTTGTATTCCCAGAGTCTTGCACACCAGTCACATTGTTCCCTCCCAAAGTCAGAGGCTGGTTGCTCATCCCAACACTTCCTCGACCATCACTACCCAGCATACCACCACCATTCTGTCCAGTCCGACTGTCCATTCCCACAGGTGTTAGGTTCCTCATAGGTTGCTGATTCTGCCTTTCACTTAATGCATTGACCCCTAGCCTAGACAAGGGACGACTGGCCCCATCTCTGTCACTACTGTTTATCTGCCTCACTGACAGACTGGCACCGTCACTCAAGTTGTTAATCCGATCAAGAGAGTGCAACTGTCGGCGGCTATCATTTCCTATAATATTTTCCAGCATGTGATCAGATGAGCGTGCAGAAGCCAGACCGGTCAGTGACTGTGAAGAGTGCCCACCACCTGCTAGATGCTCCAGTGAGCTTCCAGTCTCACTCAGGTCTAGCATGCCATGAGCATGCCTCAGCTGGTGGGCCACGTGCTGGTCACTCATGCTAACGATGATCCCAGTGTTTGGATCTAACAAAGAATGGTTCATCTGGTGATCCAAATGATGTTGTTGAGGTGATAAACTGATATTCTGTGGTGGCATTTGGTGAATGGTACTTGTGATTCTTCCTTGGTCATCTCTGTGAATAAAAGAAGAAGAAAAACAGTGAAAATCTGTGATATACAAATAAACGCTGTCTTTGCCAATAGAACAATGTTAAGGTTTAATTAAGTATCGACATGACAGCACACTCACATAAATTAGGTATGAGCCAAACAGCTCTCTGCCGGTGCCTTCGTGCTGAACAGACTCCTGCAAGACTGTCCTCTCCTGGCGAAGCTGCAGAGCGAAATATGGCAAAACCCAGTAGAACTGACAACTAAGCTTTGGGGAAACCTAAGAGACCTTGAAAAGACATCCCAGTTTATGACCCACAGTGGATTATGCACATGACCAGAGATCGCTGAAGAAGAAGAAGAAGAAGAAGACATGACAGCACTCGGAACATTACCATAACAGCTCCATCCCCATCTTCAGAGGCAAGTCCAAAGTTCCAGTTCCAATGGTACTGATTTAAAACAGTGATATGGGTACTTCAACCGAGCTTCTTCTTCCTCTTCTCTAATCCTGTTCTGCCTTTCAGTGCCAGATTTTGCAGAGGAACCGGGTGTGAGCCTTGGTATGTGCCATGCAGATGCTGGTGTTTATGGCCTCAGCTAAATATCCATCTGTCCATCACTTGCATGGTAGACCTCTAGCTGTGCTTCCATTATATCTAAGTGACAGGGTTCTCTGTGCTGCACTGTCTGGTGGCAGTCTTGATGCATGTCCAAACCATTTGACCTGTTGTCTCTTGGTGTAGTTTACTACACATCCGTCCCAACTTGTTTCCAATTTCAGATCCTGTCTATCCTAGTTATATTTAGGATTTGTTGGAGACATGTTTATTCTGTTGTTTTGATTTTTTCAACAAAGCTTTCTTCTAAAGCTTTCTTCTAAACCAATTCTAAATTACATACAAAGACAGCAAGTGAAATGGTTTGCCCACTTAGAGAGAATGCCTTGTGACACCATACCATACAAAGCATACATGGAAAGAGAAGAAGGTCGTAGAGCAAGAGGTAGACCAAGAACAAGATGGAAGGATAACATCAGAGAAGCTCTACAACAGCACGATGTGCCTATGGTTGAGGCGGCCAGAAGAGCCAGAAACAGAACCTTATATCTCCCTCGACACCCACAGCGGTAAAAGAGGAAGTGAAGAAGAAGAAGAAGAACGAAGCTTTCTGTAAAGAATAACTAGCTGAAGAGAGGCAGAAGAAGACAAGAGAAAAGGATATGTGGAAAGCTGTCTGGACTGCAAACAATAATATATCCGACACCAACATCATTAAAATATCAGATAGCAGGGAATTATGGAGAGTCATCGTAGCCAAACGTCTACTTCAGACCAATCAAATACCTCTCATGATCTTTTCTGTGTAATTCTGGAGATTTGCCAGGCTGAAGTGAGTGAAATCAATCATCACATTGCTTCTTTCTTCTTTACAAAGTTTGAGTCGTGATTTTGTGTGGTTTTGTTGTGTTCGGGCTGGCTAAGTGCAGTATGCATTAATATTAGGTACGCACACTTGACCTGTCATGACTGACTACTTCCATAAACGACAAACTGCAGTTTGGCGTGACAACTGCTGGTGTTAGCACCTACAGTGTTTGCCTTATACATTTGCTGCGTGTGCATGTTTCTGGATTTTGCCAGGACTAATTGTTTTTTCACTAGTTTCTAAACGGGACGGTGAAGGCATTCAGTGTGATTTTCATTAGCATAGGAATGGAGTAATAATCTTGTGACCCGTTTGTAATAAAGTTTACACTTGACCACTACTGCTGCTGTTACTACTACTGGTGCTACTTCTAATGTTGTTGTTGCTGCTGTTACTACTACTAGTGCTACTTCTAATGTTGTTGTTGCTGCTGTTACTACTACTAGTGCTACTTCTAATGTTGTTGTTGCTGCTGTTACTACTACTAGTGCTACTTCTAATGTTGTTGTTGCTGCTGTTACTACTAGTGCTACTTCTAATGTTGTTGTTGCTGCTGTTACTACTACTAGTGCTACTTCTAATGTTGTTGTTGCTGCTGTTACTACTACTGGTGCTACTTCTAATGTTGTTGTTGCTGCTGTTGCTACTACTAGTGCTACTTCTAATGTTGTTGTTGCTGCTGTTACTACTACTAGTGCTACTTCTAATGTTGTTGCTGCTGTTACTACTAGTGCTACTTCTAATTTTGTTGTTGCTGCTGTTACTATTACTAGTGCTACTTCTAATGTTGTTGTTGCTGCTGCTAATAATACAACTACTGCTACTACTACAACTAATACTACAACAGTGTCCTTCCAAATTCATAGTTTGAGTGATGTTTCTTGTCTGTGTAGCCTTGTCTGTGATATGTTGGATTTAGCATATAAAGTTGTCAGTTGGTTTAGGAAGCCTGCCCACTCAAGCCCCCAGACCCCCCCCCCCCCCCTCCAACCTCTTTTAGTTCCATCTTACGTAATGTTTAGCTGCGGGTCGCAGTGTCAAACCGGTCAGGTTGTCTGGCGTTCTGAAGATCGTGGGTTCATTTCACGATCGCTACTGGGCAATAAGCTGTCGACTATCCCGACTTTAACTCTGTCATGTTTAAAAGTAAAATACCCTTTACGCGCATTTAATGCACTAGACATATATTGCTCGACCTATTTTGTTTAAACAGATCAATCGCGCTCGCCTGCGGATTGAAAGGCCCTGGGTTCGGGTCCGGCGGAGGCGGATTTTTATTTTATTTTTTGTTGAAATGATCTTGGCTCCCAGGTCAACAAAGCCTGGAGTGGGTACCAGGTACAGTCCTGGGAAGTAAAGGCAGAAAGCGTGATGCTGACCATTTTACCCATCAAGTGCAGTGTTGAAATTTTGGATGTTTTGCATCCAGGTTTAGATGTTTTCCCTTGAATTTAGATGGCGTTTTTGACGTTTAGATGGTAGATGTCTTTCTAGATGTTTTTTATGTGAAGTGAATTTATCAAATCTAACCTAAGAAACAGGATGAAATTTGACCTCTTAAATGCTATCTTGACAATAAAATTCGGCCTGATCAGAGTAGAAAAAGGCTGTTCCACTTATCAACTCCCTGACTGGGTATTAAAAGAAACTGGAACAGCTAAAGCATACCAGTCATTTTGGATCTGAAGCTTCAACTTCATCATCCAAGCTAAGATTATCTTGTGGATCTTGTAAGGCAGACTTGTCATGTAGGTCGGAAGAGGCGATGAGAGAGAGTTGGCACGAGAAGCAGGGCTGTCAATGATGGGTTTTACCACCAGAACTAGGTTTTTATTTGACGCCTTGGGTTCAAATTTTGAAATCTTGGGATTTTTAAAATATATCCTTATTTAAAAGTGGGTAAATGTTTCGTTTCGTAACTATACAATTTTTACTTTTTAATAATCTGGATTTTTTTATTGAGGTTTTTCTTTGCCCGTGTATGTCTAGGGTTTCTGTTCAGTTTAACTGGGTTTTTCAAACACATCCAATTGGCAGCCTTGGCGAGAAGGACTACATTGTCCAACAGAACATGTTATTTATAGATACAGATCGCCCGCCAATCATGTCTGCTACCAAAGGATATACGTGAATTGGCTGACAGCCTGTGCTCTGCTAGTAGATTCAAGGCAGGATGAAAAGCAGTCAATCGTAAGTTGGACAAACAGAGATGGGTCCAGCTTGTACATAAAAACAGACAGGTTAGTGGGAGAAAAAGCTGATGTAACAGACCGCAGATTTCATGTTTTAAATAGAAAATTTAATGACAAAAGACTACAGTGCAGTCCGCTTAAGGCGATCTTAGATGTGGCGAATTTCTGTTGGGAAGAATAATTTGTTTAACCCCAGCAATTGTTCTTGCTTGAATTCTTATCCAGATACGAGGATTTCTGACAAGAAGAACCATTTTTGGGTTCCAAGTGAGTTCTCCTCATCAGATCTGCGCTGCACGATGTCTGTGATTCTGTTACAAGCATATTCAGATCCTTGCTGGTGGCGGGGATTTCGTGCACTGTGCTGAGACTCGCCAAGTGAACTATGGGAGGTCAGGGAAAGACTGTGGAGGATTCAGAGTTGCACTTAAAGCGGTCTATTGCGAGAGTCACCACAGAGTTGAATTAATGTAGCGGGAACCCCGGTGTTGTTGGGCGACCACCATGAGTGGGACTCACAACATAAGCTCCATGTTTTAGCAAAGACGACCCTCTGGAAAAATGTGCATTGGCCAACAGAACGACGGGGTCCGAATGTGAACCCATGACCCACTTCGCCAGAGCCCAGGATCCTCATGACGCGAGGCAAACGCACTGACCACTTCACTACAAAGACCCCCACTCCCCCCCCAAACTGTGAACTTGGCAGTGCAGAGACATCACTAAGGTTAGTTGCGTAGCCTTTACAGGACGTTGCAGAACCAACCCCATCAGCCCCTGGCTGTTGTGTGGTTTCACTAGGCAAATTTACGTCCAGTAGTTTGTCATTGCCTTTTGGACGGTCGGCTCCCTGATACCACTGTCGAAACCAACGCAAGGCGTACGGCCCGCAGCTAGGATCGAACCCGGTAACCCGGCATTACGAAGCGTTCGCATCGACTTAGCCACAGAGCCGGCTGGAGACACCTCTGCACAAAGAGAAACCATCAGAGTGACTATCTGAACCATATATCATATGCTAACTGTCATCTGGCATGGGTTGTGGTAGCAGTAGTAACAATAGTAGTGGCAGTAATGGTGGTGGTGATGTTGGTGATTGTGGCGGCGGTAGTGGTGGTGGTGATGGTGGCCTTAGCAACAGTTGTGGTAACAGCTTTGGTCGTGGAGGCGGCGGCAGCAGCAGCACTGCTGACCTTAAAATAAGGACAACTAAGTCAGTGACAGATCCAACTGCACACCTGCTTCCGGCGTCAATGGCCTACATCTAAAGGCCGCCCACGTAGACCTCTAACCCCGAAAGACCGTGCAGCCGACAATGTTCAACATCAACCACACCTGTATGTCCAGCTACAATGCAGTAACTGGT